CAAAAATTCCCCAGTTACTCTTCTTTTTTGATTCATCACTGACCTCTCAACGTTTCCATATTGAATTTCTTTTTTATTGATGATTTAATTTCATTAATTAGAGCTTTCTCCCTTATCTCCTCAGGTACCTGATTGATGTTGAGGGCATGGAGCCCAACACAGCCATCGAGTGTATGTATGAGAACCTTCTTCTTCAGATCCAAAATGTTCCTCTTGGGCTTGTGTTTTAGATGGTCAGAAGGTCTGGGCTGCTCCAGGGAGGTAACTGGGTTGTAGCTCCATGTGTTCCCCTGCTGTGTGGAACAGGAGCTGGAGGAGAGGAGGCTCTGGAGGCTCTTTGAGGGAATTGGAAGGAAGGGATTTAAGTTTATGGTCCAGCTAAGGGGGAGATCTGAGGGGTTACTGAGGAGCTCCTCCTCCTGTCTTGGCTGCTCACAGGCCGTGGTATGAAGGGTGATAATCCTGAGTGGAATCACAGAATTAGTGAGGCTGGAAAACCCTCTGACATCATCAGGTCCAGCCCATGACCTGACACCACCACATCTCCAGACCATGGCACTAAGCTCCACATCCAGCCTTTCCTTAAACACCTCCAGGGCTGGTGCCTCCACCACTTCCCTGGGAAGTCCTTTCTAATGTCTGATCACACTGGAAGTGTTGGTTCAATTAAATTAATGAAATTAAATGACTTAAAAAGGGGTTCACACTCTTGGAAGGGTCCCAGTGCCCTGTGGACAGGGTGTTGTTCTGACCCAGCCCTGTCTGTCTCTAGTGTTCAACAGAGCTCGAGGACATCCCATAGAGAGAACCAACTACATCCAGGATCTCCAGATGAGATCTGTGAAAAAGTAAGTGTGTGACCTCAGGGTGGACCTCCCATCCAGCAGCAGCCCCTGAGGGTGGGCAGGAAGGGCAAGGAGGAAGGTGGGTGTTGGAAAACCTGGATGGAAAGCTCTGCACATCCCATAAACCCTTGTGGGGTTTATTTTGGGATGGGGTGGGGGGGTGTTTGGTTTTTTAGGTGTGAAGAGCTGTTGTGGTCACAGGCATCACTGACCTTCAGGATTCTTTTGTAGGAGCTGTGGAATAAATAAATTGGGCTCAGGCCCCTTCAGGGAAAAAGCTGGTGCTGCTGTGGGCCCTCCAAGGCAGGTGGTGAAACATCATCTCCAGTGTGTGGAGCAGCCCCCCATGGTGCTGCACAGGTGGGTTCCTGCTCCCTGATCCCCCCCCAGGTGGGTTCCTGCTCCCTGATCCCCCCCCCCAGGTGGGTTCCTGCCCCCTGATCCCCCCCAGGCCCCATGGTGCTGCACAGGTGGGTTCCTGCTCCCTGATCCCCCCCCAGGTGGGTTCCTGCTCCCTGATCCCCCCCCCCAGGTGGGTTCCTGATCCCTGATCCCCCCCCAGGTGGGTTCCTGCTCCCTATCCCTGTCCTCACCCTGCAGCTGAGTAGGTGGAGCAAAGAATGAAGCTTCAACTTGGAATTTTAGAAGCCCCAGCTTAGAGAAGAGTGGGGAAGAGCAGCTGGAAAGTGTCCAGGGGGAAAAGGACCTGGGGGTGCTGGTCACAGCAGCTGAACATGAGCCAGTGTGTGCCCAGGTGGCCGGGAAGGCCACCAGCACCCTGGCTTGTGTCAGCAGCAGTGTGGCCAGCAGGACCAGGGGTCAGCACTGGTGAAGCCACACCTTGAATCCTGGGGTCAGTTTTGGGTCAGAAGAAGGACACTGAGGGGCTGGAGGGTGTCCAGAGAAGAGCAAAGGAGCTGGGGAAGGGGCTGGAGCCCAGAGAGAAGGGTCTGGAGAACTTGTGAGGAGCTGGGGGTGTCCAGGCTGGAGAGAAGGAGGCTGAGGGGAGACCTTCTGCTCTGCAACTGCCTGAGAGGAGGTTGGAGCCAGGGGGGTCGGGCTCTGCTCCCCAGGAACAAGTGATGGGACAAGAGGAACGGCCTCAAGTTGCCCAGGGGAGGTTTAGGTTGGATCTTGGGAACAATTTCCCCATGGAAAGGGTTGTCAGGCCCTGGCCCAGGCTGCCCAGGGCAAGGGGGGGTCCCCATCCCTGGAGACATTACACACACAGAAGTGGCACTTCAGGACATGCCCTGATGTGCAGCGGCCTGGGGGGTTTCTCTGGGGTTGATGGTTGGACTTGGTGATCTTCGAGGTTTTGTCCAAGGCTGCTGCTTCTGCGGCTCCTCCCTGAGCCCCCTCTGCCCTCCCAGGGCTACCGCACGGGCTACACCTACCGCTACCCCCTGGTGCAAGAGAAGAGCAAGCCCAAGAGCGACGTGCTGATCCCGGCCACCGGCACCGCCTTAGT